AAGTTCGGTCAGAACTTCCCAGAAGTTCCGTTAGAACTTCCCAGAAGTTCGGTCAGAACTTCCCAGAAGTTCCATCAGAACTTCCCAGAAGTTCCGTCAGAACTTCCCAGAAGTTCGGTCAGAACTTCCCAGAAGTTTGGTCAGAACTTCCCAGAAGATCGGTCAGAACTTCCCAGAAGTTCGGTCAGAACTTCCCAGTAGTTCGGTCAGAACTTTCCAAAAGTTGCGTCTGAACTTCCTAGAAGTTCGGTCAGAACTTCCCAGAAGTTCGATCAGAACTTCCCAGAAGTTCGATCAGAACTTCCCAGAAGTTCGATCAGAACTTCCCAGAAGTTCGATCAGAACTTCCCAGAAGTTCGGTCAAAACTTCCCAGAAGTTCGGTCAAAAATTCCCAGAAGTTCGGTCAGAACTTCCCAGAAGTTCGGTCAGAGCTTCCCAGAAGATCGGTCAGAACTTCCCAGAAGTTCGGTCAGAACTTTCCAAAAGTTGCGTCTGAACTTCCTAGAAGTTTGATCAGAACTTCCTAGAAGATCGGTCAGAACTTCCCAGAAATTTGGTCAAAACTTCCCAGAAGTTCGGTCAGAACTTCCCAGAAGTTCGGTCAGAACTTCCCAGAAGTTCGGTCAGAACTTTCCAGAAACTTGGTCAGAACTTCCCAGAAGTTCGGTCAGAACTTTCCGAAAGTTGCGTCTGAACTTCCTAGAAGTTCTGTCAGAACTTCCCAGAAGTTCGGTCAGAACTTCCCAGAAGTTCAGTCAGAACTTCCCAGAATATTGGTCAGAAATTCGGTCAGAACTTCCCAGAAGTTCGGTCAGAACTTCCCAGAAGTTCGGTCAGAACTTCCCAGAAGTTCGGTCAGAACTTCCCAGAAGTTCAGTCAGAACTTTCCAGAAGTTCAGTCAGAACTTCCCAGAAGCTCGGTCAGAATTTCCCAGAAGATCAGTCAGAACTTCCCAGAAGTTCGGTCAGAAATTCCCAGAAATTTGGTCAGAATTTCCCAGAAGTTCGGTCAGAACTTCCCAGAAGATCGGTCAGAACTTTTCAGAAGTTCGGTTATAACTTTCCAGAAGTTCAGTCAGAACTTTCCAGAAGTTCAGTCAGAACTTCCCAGAAGTTCCGTTAGAACTTCCCAGAAGTTCGGTCAGAACTTCCTAGAAGTTCCATCAGAACTTCCCAGAAGTTCGGTCAGAACTTCCCAGAAGTTCGGTCAGAACTTCCCAGAAGTTTGATCAGAACTTCCCAGAAGATCGGTCAGAACTTCCCAGAAGTTCGGTCAGAACTTCCCAAAAGATTGGTCCGAAGTTCGGTCAGAAATTTCCAGAAACTCGATCAGAACTTCCCAGAAGTTCGGTTAGAGCTTCCCAGAAGTTCGGTCAGAACTTCCCAGAAATTCTATCAGAACTTCCCAGAAGTTCCGTCAGAACTTTCTAGAAGTTCGGTCAGAAGTTTCTAGAAGTTCGGCCAGAACTTCCCAGAAATTCGGTCATAACTTCGCAGAAATTCGGTCAGAACTTCCCAGAAGTTCGGTCAGAACTTCCCAAAAGATTGGTCCGAAGTTCGGTCAGAAATTTCCAGAAACTCGATCAGAACTTCCCAGAAGTTCGGTTAGAGCTTCCCAGAAGTTCGGTCAGAACTTCCCAGAAATTCTATCAGAACTTCCCAGAAGTTCCGTCAGAACTTTCTAGAAGTTCGGTCAGAAGTTTCTAGAAGTTCGGCCAGAACTTCCCAGAAATTCGGTCATAACTTCGCAGAAATTCGGTCAGAACTTCCCAGAATTCGGTCAGAACTTCCCAGAAATTCGGTCAGAACTTCCCAGAAATTCGGTCAGAACTTCCCAGTAGTTCGGTCAGAACTTTCCAAAAGTTGCGTCTGAACTTCCTAGAAGTTCGGTCAGAACTTCCCAGAAGTTCGATCAGAACTTCCCAGAAGTTCGATCAGAACTTCCCAGAAGTTCGATCAGAACTTCCCAGAAGTTCGGTCAAAACTTCCCAGAAGTTCGGTCAAAAATTCCCAGAAGTTCGGTCAGAACTTCCCAGAAGTTCGGTCAGAGCTTCCCAGAAGATCGGTCAGAACTTCCCAGAAGTTCGGTCAGAACTTTCCAGAAGTTCGGTCAGAACTTCCCTAAAGTTCGGTCAGAACTTCCTAGAAGCTCGGTCAGAATTTCCCAGAAGTTCGGTCAGAACTTCCTAGAAGCTTGATCAGAATTTCCCAGAAGTTCGGTAGAGCTTCCCAGATGTTCAGTCAGAACTTCTCAGAAGATTGGTCATAACTTCCCAGAAGATCGATCATAACTTCCCAGAAGTTCGGTCAGAGCTTCCCAGAAGTTCGGTCAGAACTTTCCAGAAACTCGGTCAGAACTTCCCAGAAGTTCTGTTAGAGCTTCCCAGAAGTTCGGTCAGAACATCTCAGAAATTCTATCAAAACTTCCCAGAAGTTCCGTCAGAACTTTCTAGAAGTTCGGTCAGAAGTTTCTAGAAGTTCGGCCAGAACTTCCCAGAAATTCAATCAGAACTTCGCAGAAATTCGGTCAGAACTTCCCAGAAATTCGGTCAGAACTTCCCAGAAATTCGGTCAGAACTACCCAGACATTCGGTCAGAACTTCCCAGTAGTACGGTCAGAACTTCCCAAAAGTTCGGTCAGAACTTCCCAGAAGTTCGATCAGAACTTCCCAGAAGTTCGGTCAGAACTTCCCAGAAGTTCGATCAGAACTTCCCAGAAGTTCGGTCAGAACTTCCCAGAAGTTCGGTCAGAAATTCCCAGAAGTTCGGTCAGAACTTCCCAGAAGTTCGGTCAGAGCTTCCCAGAAGTTCGGTCAGAACTTCCCAGAAGTTCGATCAGAACTTCCCAGAAGTTCGGTCAGAGCTTCCCAGAAGTTCGGTCAGAACTTCCTAGAAGCTCGGTCATAACTTCCCAGAAGTTCGGTTAGAACTTCCCAGAATTTCGGTCAGAACTTCCCAGAAGTTCGGTCAGAACTTCCCAGAAGTTTGGTCAGAACTTTCCAGAAACTCGGTCAGAATTTTCCAGAAGTTTGGTCAGAGCTTCCCAGAAGTTCAGTCAGAACTTTCCAAAAGTTGCGTCCGAACTTCCCAGAAGTTCCGTCAGAACTTTCTAGAAGTTCGGTCAGAAGTTCCCAGGAGTTCGGTCAGAACTTCCCAGAAATTCGGTCAGAACTTCCCAGAAATTCGGTCAGAACTTCCCAGTAGTTCGGTCAGAAGTTCCCTGAAGTTCGGTTAGAACTTCCTAGAAGCACGGTCAGAACTTCCCAGAAGTTCAGTCAGAACTTCTGGGAAGTTTAGTCAGAACTTTCCAGAAGTTGCGTCAGAACTTCGCAAAAGTTCTGTCAGAACTTCCCAGAAATTTCATCAGAACTTCCAAGAAGTTCCGTCAAAACTTTTCAAAAGTTCCGTCAGATTTTTCTAGAAATTCCTTCAGAAATCCTCAGTCTAGGGTAATCCAAACAATTAGTTTTGCATTTCCCGACGTTTCGGCCGTTTATTGTGGCCTTTTTCAAGGATTATACTGTCTTCTTGTATGGTTCATTGAGTTTGATTTTAATTAAAATGGGACACTATACGATACTACACGTTACAACGGTTTTTCTGTTATCTTCTTCAAAACAACCGTTGTGAAATGTAGTGTCGTATAGTGTCCCATTTTAATTAAAATCAAACTCAATGAACCATACAGGAAGCTCCTTCAAGCTTATCGTGGCAACAAACAACATTTAACGACAATGATGCCTTTGGATCTGGGATGCTAGGGCCAGATGGGTTTGTTGGCGCTCAACAGCATGTAGAATAGCCACACTTTCCACGAAGAAAACGGAGCATTGGTCAGGGAGCCAGAAAAGATCCTAATAGAAGCTTCATTTGGAAGCTCATTCTAAAAGCTTGCTCCTCTGACTTAAAAAACACGGACAGAACTATAAATCTGAGGATCTGCGCAGTAAATGAGCGTTTTTCAAAAGTTTGGAGCATTTAATAGATTTAATAGTGTGTTTACATAGTTACCATTTTATTCAGGCAAATGAAATTATCAGGAAAAGAACGACTGATCTTTGTAAATTTTATATCATATAAAATAACTATCACGAAAACAAACAAAAAATAGATAGATCTTTGCGGTCCAAACCAGCATGTCGGGGCAAGTGGATTGAACTCAACTATTACACTGAGGCATAAAATCTTTGATCCACGGGAAGTAAATCCATTGGTCCTCGGTTCATGAGTTGATGGGTCGATAGGTAGGGTTCAGGTGTGGGAGCTGCCTCCTTGGCGTCGGTAGCATTGGTACTCAGTACGGAAAACAAGGTCGACGGAAAGCAAATCGAAGAAAAAAAAAAAGATTTTGGTGCTTCTTAAAGTCCGTAAAAATCATTATTTTTCTAAGATGCAGCAAACTTCACTATTGTTAATTTTTTTTTATATATCTCAGAAATCTTAAAAATGTCTTCAAATCAAAGCTTTCGAAAAAAAAATTGAAGCCTCCGAATCTTGAAACAGAATAAGAATCCTGTTCCATTAAAATCGATTCGATGGTGTAAGAACCCCAAACATTCAGTTCCAGAGCCTGCAAAACTTGCCGAGACCCCGTTATTTTTATTCTAAATAGCTAAGCATATTTCCCTCAAAAAAATCCCATCAAAATCCCACCGCTGTTATTGAAATCAACTCGTATCGAAGGAATTCGCATCTATCCGTCCAGCCAGCCAGAGGGTTATTACTAGCATCAGAATGTTCGAGATGCCGAAGCGACCGAGGCAGGGATGAGTATAGCATCAGCAAATATTGACACCACCGTGTTCCCTTCTGCTGGTCCTCCTCCCCCATCCGAAGCCAAAAACCCTTATCTTGGGAGGTGACTTGAGCAATTTCTTCGACCATGTCTTCAAGGCTCCCTATATCTAGCAGGACCCGGTCAAGATTTGTACATGGCATGGGAACGAGGAAGGTACGGTGGGAAGCTAACCGAAGAAAATTTAATATAAATTAAACTTACCGACAACATCCTTGAGGGTTGCCTTCTCGCCACAACTAACGAAATGTGGGTAGAATGCAACCATCACCAGGCCACCGTTGGCAGACTGTAGCAGCAGCAGCAGCAGTGGTAGTAGTCGGTCATCGTTGCAGATGTGGTTTGTTGCGACCGGTCAGCCAAAGTCATTCGATGTCGTCCGAAACAAGATCCGGGGTGCGCAAATGCGTGTGTCCGCAGCATCCGAGGACATTGTGAGCAAGATACCGTTCATTGTTGTTGTTGATGATGTTGTCGTTGTTGTGATTGTGGCATCCAGATTCGTTTGCATGCAGTAGTTGGGAAACGAGATGGGAAAAGTTGCGCATTAATTCCATCGGTAGACCACAAGCTGGTGCGGGAACCCCTGATATCCCCATCCCGGAGCCAATCGGTGGAAGTGGCTAATAAAAAGCGTCATCGAGTCTGGGACCCTCTGCAAGCACCGCAAAGTGCTCCATTCTGTGGCGTGGAGCACAGTACAACAACAAAAAAAAAAGAATCCTACCGATTTTAATTAATTTCTTGTTTTTCTTTAATCATCTAACTTCGGCTCCGGCAGCTGTCGGTGGCGTCCGGTGGAGAGCAACATAGAATTTCATCAAATTATGCTAATTCCGGACTCTATCAGGACTCCGGATCCAAGCGATAGGAAGGTTCCGTGTGAGAGGGTGGAATGAAAGGTTATGTGACCATACTGCCGCTGCCGGAGATGATCGGGAAATTATAATAATAGAAAGTTGTTTATGGAATATAAATTAGCTGATGAATGCCAGATGATTCAAAACAAGCTCGATAAATTATGAGCACAAATTATTTGATGAGGTTTGTTCAGGAAAGGCTTGAGCGTAATTTTGTAAATAAAAACATTCCGAACTTTTCTTTTCAAAGGGTGATTTGGCAGTGGATTTTAAATTGCGGGCATTTTCTTTCCGGACGGCAACTGATTTCTTCCAACCACTTACCAGTCGCTTCAGCACGTGATCCGGCACGTTCCGGGAGCTATTGCAGATGGCATGGGCCGATGAGTGGGAAAAGATGACCGGCGCCTTGGAGGTGGCCAACGCGTCCAGCATGGTCGGAACGGATACGTGCGACAGATCGACGATCATCCCCAGCCGGTTCATCTCAGTGACCACCAGGGTGCCGAAGTGCGACAGGCCCCCTATGTGGGGAACCTGACCCGGTTCATCAACTTTGCAACAATCGGCCCACGGTGTGTTGCAAGTGTGCGTTAGAGTGAGATAGCGAGCTCCTAGCTGGTAGAAGGTCCGCAGCACCCCCAGGCTTGTGCCTATCGAGTGACCACCTTCGATGCCGATCAGGCTGGCCAGCTTGCCGGAACGGTGGCTCTCCTCGATGCCTGCGGGAGAGCAGAGATTGAGATTGTTTGGTGCTCGGTTGAACGAGGAAAATTTAATTAAAATTTCAAATAACCTACCGTCGGCTGTCGTCACCAGAGCCATGTGCTGCGGGTAGAGATTCACTAATCTGCGTATTAAGTCTATCTGTTCTAATGTTAATTGCACCGCATCGAGATGTTGCGAGGAGCAGGGCGCATATGCTGACCAAAACTGAAACGAGAAAAGAGAAGGAGAGACATTATGAATTATATGAAGGTAGCATAAAGTCTACTAGGGGGCGGGGGTGTCATGGCTTGGAAATCACGAACGGGCCGTAAATTCCACGCTGCATCGTTGTTGGCCTCAACCGGACGAACCGAGTGGCCCTGCAGGAAATAAAAGAGATGATGGTGTGATTTACGCGCCATCAGTCGTCGTCATCGTCCGAAGCCATGCTCCCCGGGGGCGGCACACCGATGCAGACTCCACCACTACCTAGAATGGTGCACACGGACAGCCCCTAACCGGGAAGATGTTACTCAAAGAGGATCATAAAACAAATAAAGTGGCAATAACAAAGTGGCTCGCTGCGTCCATATCGCCATGGCGTGACGGCGGCGGCTGTGCGTTGCTACTCTGATGGATGCCGGTTGGATGAGAAGGACGCTGCGTTGGTACGGAATGTGGATATTTTTTAAATGTTATGATTTCATTTCAAATAGTTTGATTGTTGAATATCGCAACTCATTGCCATTCAAACTTCTATGCTTGATAATGGTAGCCCGATTTATTTGAAATCCGTACATGCAGCGTCGAGATATTGTTGCAACACTCAACCGGGAAATGTAAGAATCTCTCACAGTTTTGCATAAAAGACGAACAATATCTGTAAGGATTAGCGGAATACACAGAGTCTGTATTGTGGGCATTGAAAAACTTTTCAGCTAATTGAGTATGATTATTCAAATAAATCATTCGATAAAGTTTTTTTTCACTCCTTATTTAGTTAGTAAGTTAGTTATCTTTATTAAGGAGACTTTCAGCCGAACGCTGGTTCGTCTCCGGAACTCTTTATTTGTTTCAAATTCAAAATAAACTATATTTCAATTTAACCTAGGTGCTCCAGCCAGGCATGGGAAATCATTTGCATTCATTTCGCGCATTCATTTACATTCATTTGCCTCTATTTTTTTTCTTGAACAGCATTCCGCAAATTGATGTTTAAAACTTTTGTAGGTTTTGTTAATAGCTACAACTTTTGTTAAAAGTCAAATTCGTATCTCTTATACACGACGAACCAGAGTGAACAGAAGCCACTACTGTTTTTCAGTGAATGTATTTAACATTCACTGAAAAACATTAACAAGTTCTGCCCGCTCTTGTTCGTGATGCATAAGAGATCTTCTTCTTCTTATTCGCATTTCAAGCTTATTGCTTAGTGCATTTAAGCCTATTGCGTGCTCTCAACTTAGTGTTCTAAATGCACTTCCACACTTATTAATTGAGAGCTTTCGATGCCATTACCAATGCATGAATTTGTATATTGTGTGGCAAGCACAATGATACTCTATGCCCAGGGAAGTCGAGAATATTTCCAACCCGAAAGATTCCCTCGACCGGACCGGAAATCGTGCCTTTACTGACTAGGCTATGAGGCCCATAGCGATATGCATAAGAGAAACAGATTTTAATTATAAACAAAAGTTGTAGTTAATAACAAAACCTACAAAAGCTCTATACATCATTCTGCGGAATTCCGTTGATGACAAAAGTTAGAGGCAAATGAATGTAAATGAATGTATGAAATGAATGCAAATGATTTTCCATGCCTGGCTCCAGCTACTATAGTAACTTACCAGCCTTAATTGTTATGATTAGCAATGGGCGATCTTGGATCGAAACACAAAAGATCGATTCTTTTGGATCGATTAATCGATTATTTGAATCTATCTCAAACACGACAAAAATCGACTGGATCGTTCTTTTTCATTCGATTTTTGTTTCGATCCAAAAAAAAAAAATAAAAAATTCAGTGCAATTGCATTCGCAATTCAATATTGATTTTGCACATCACTTGCCTTGAGCATGGATTCTGCAAACAACTTTTTTCTTACCGTGTAGAATAGGGAAAGGGAGGGGTCAAAATCCGAACTCACAGATAGTGTCAAAAAGCACAGTGAGGGATACATTTATTCATACAAACAGGCCGCCATTACCGAGCATGGAAAGCTGGATATTCTCATCATATATGTAATGTATGTTACACCGACAACAGCGTCCGTACTACACCATTTGTTTCTTAATGATATCAATCATCACACTAATTGACTATGATAAGTGAAATATCATAACAAGAAAGCTTATATAACGAAATATCAACTTTAGATTGAACTTGGCGTTAATCTACACCAACTTTCCTATGATCCGTTAAATTTGAAACATTTTTGTGCCATTTTGAAAAATGAATCGATCCTAAATATCGATTTAAAATGATTGATTAAATCAGAGAATCGATTATTTAAAAAAAAAATGGATCGCCCAATGCTAATGATAAACACATCTAAGAGCACCCGCACCAATGCGTTGCTATTCGCGCAGCTAGTTGAACAACTTTAGCCATTGCTATTTTAGTTAGCAACTTGTTACGCACCGGTCGTTGCTATCACGATTGTGAATTTACGTTTTCGGCTTTCGCACCGATAGTTGCTGAACTTATCGTCGAACTTCGAACTGAAATTGATCACAGAGTTTCGTGATTGATTTTTTCGACAATATTGATATAGAGGAAATGGCTCTAATGTTGGCCTATGAATCTTAGATTGGGCCCATCGCTAAAAATCTGATATTTATCAATTTTATCTAGATGAACGCGTCATTGGGACGGTACTAATGGATATTTTTGGTCGCTATTGAAAATTTAGTTGTTTTTTGAATTTATGTATGGGCCTACATTAGGGACACTTAGGCCGACATTACATGCATTTCCCCTACCTAACCACGAAGACTGAAGATTGAAGGTTAAGATCCAACTACAGACCCAGGTACTCAAGAAACGGTTCTCCGGAAGATCCGAATAGCCCAGCGATTTTTTTTAATCACTTGTTGTGATGCTACATGAATGAATTTGCAGCAGGGACCAGCATGCGCACACTGGTGGTCACGAAACTGTCCTCTGGGAGATCCGGAACATCCATAAAAGTGGTCAATTTGTAAAAATGATCGAAAAATCAATCTTCGTATGCTCATCTTATAAAAGTTACGCACCAAAAGGCATAAAGGCATTTTCGGATGCCCATCTGGATTACAAGATTACATATTTTAGCTTGTGAATTTATCAAAAAATGTTGAAACCTTTAAGAAGTTCAGATTGATAGAAATGTCGGGAAGTTAAAAGATCTTTAAGCAAGACAATCTAATAGATTTCAGGAAAATTTAATTCAGCGAAGATCAAGAGCTTCAGGGCAGTTCTATTAAATTCAGGAAAATTTAAACTCAAAGACCTATGAGTAAGTTACGTGAACTTCGGGAAAGTTCTGAAAATGTTAGGGCAGTTCCAGGAAAATCAGGAAAACTGTGAGAACTTGAGGGACGTTCCTAACACTTTCGAAAACTTGGCAGTTCCATTTATTTCAGTAAAATAAAGGAAACCATCTCTTGAAATTCCGAAAATTTAGGGATAGTAAAAAAAAAAACTTCAGGGAATGAACTTAAAAACATTGAGAAAGCTACACAGAAGATCAATGTTTAAAGGGAAGTTTAAAAATCTTCTGGGCAGTTCCATTAATTTCTGAACAATTCCAGGAACATCGTCAGAAGAACATAACCCAAGTAACAATTTTGGTTTTATGAAGGTTCTGGAGGCCATGATTTAGACTTAAAACTTCGATAAAACTTGCAATGTTTCTTGGGAAGGAAAGTTCCGTAAACTTCAGGAAACAATAGAGAACTCCAGGAGAGTCTGAGGAATGAAAAGAAGTACTGAGAATTTCAGGAAGTTTTATAGGCAAACAATGGAAACAAAAGGTAAGTTCCGAAAACTTCTGGAAATTTTGGAGAATTTCAGGCAAACCTCAGGATTTTCAAAGTGGTTCCAAAAATTCTGAAAACTGCAGAAACTTTTAAGACAATTTGAGAAATTCAGGGATATCCAGAGAACTTTAAAGAAGTCAAAATAATTTCAGAGATGTGGAGATAACTTGAGGAAAATTTACATTTTAAAGAACTTCCAAGTACCTCAAAGAAGTTAGACTAGAGAGCTTTAGGGAATTTAAGAGATATTAACGGCACTTTCAATAACTTTATTATTTCTTGAAATTCATGAAATTCCAGACTTTCAGGGAAGTTCGAAGATTTGTAAATAATTCCGGTCAATTCCATAAACTTCGGAAAAACTTCGAGAATTTTTTTGACAGTTCTATTTAGTTCAGGGTAATACCAAGAACTTCAATAGAATTGAAAATACTTCAGGAATGCTTCGAGAGCAGAAGGACTGAGCAGAGAAACTAAGAACAGTTCATCTAATTTCAAAGAAATTGAAGAATGTTTAAGAAGTTCTAAGAAACTCAGGGAAAAATACGAAACTTCATCAAAGTACCAAGACCTTTATTTAAATTTCAGAAACATAAGAGATGGTTCATGAGCATCAGGTAAATGTGAGATCATTTTAAGGGAGTTCCATGGTTTTTAATGCAGGTTAAAAAGCTGCAAAAATGCAGGAACTTCAACAACGATCAGATTATGTTAAAGAAAATCGCGAGATCTTTTAAAATGTTCAGAAATCTTCAAGAACGTCTGGAGACCTTCAGAGATGTATGTAGATTTTTTGGTAGTTTCATTATATTTTGGGAAGTTTTCGGAGCTTCCAAGATGATTAGAGATCTTCGTATCAGTTTCATTTATTTAAGGAAAACTATAGGATATTTCAAGGAATTCAAAGGAATTGTGGGATATTTCAAGAATTTCATGAATTTTGCGATGCTTCAGAAACAATGCAATTTTTTTTCAATATGATTAAAATTTCCGGAACAAAAGAAAAATTAATGAACTTCAGAAAAGGTTCAATACCTCACGGAAGTCTAAATAAAACTAGGATTTTTATGCGAATTGTCTACTTTTGTGGTTGTTCAAAATCTTCCAGAGAACCACAACGCTACCCCATTGCATATGCTAGTCCTAGATCCTAATTCATACATGTAGCTTCAGAATAAGTGGATCGGGAAGCCGGATCCCGC